GTCATTCAAAACTATTGTCTGGCCCTTAAGATACGTGATTTTGTTGTATTTTTTTGCAGTGCTGACGGTCTGTTTTCGAGATGAAGACCTGTTTTTGAAAAACAAATTTGTAGACGGGCCAGTGAGGTGGGGACTGGATCTCCTAGGGAGGCTAAAAAACCCAACGGACTTTTGTTGAGTAATGTCTACTCTACAATGTTCCGGGGAATTACCTCTCCGTTAGAGTTGTATCCGGGAGCAAAAATTGTATTTTGGAAGAACAATCATAAGTTCATAAGGTTCATAAGTTCAACGTACCAATGTGGTCTTTAAGTTAGTATATTACATAAGCTACTGGATTTGTTGGCATACAAGACAACAGGGCATCATGGAGTTAATAGAAAGTTCCGTAAATGGCTGTTTGACCTTAGTTGTCATCCGCTAAATGACAGCTAAAAAATTCATGGGCTAACGTTTTTCGAATTGCATGTGCATTTGATTTTGTCGATCATGATTTTGTTGATCATGAAATTATCGAGAATATCTGACTACTGACAAGTAGTCTAAGTCATGACTTGGCAACTGTTAGGTCATATTCGGGGGCCGATTACCGTAGAAATAAAACCGGATAACCGTTCGCCACCATCCGTTTGATTGCTTGCGTAGGTCAACAGCCAGTTACACCAATAACCCGTGGTGCAGAGCTATCTGCAAGCACGTGGTCCTGAGGGTACCATCCATGTTGCTGAGTAATTTTGGTTCAAAAGCCGTAAATGGAGAAATTACTAGAAAAATAAGACGTGATCGTAACACTATAAGACTTAATTGTGGACTCAACGGTGCAGAACTGCCTCTCTTGCCAGCACTTGAAAGGTTGGACGAATCCACCAGGATATGTACCTGTTGGAGGTATTACTGACGACCTAATCAGTAACAGATGCCAGCTTTCGTCATCCAGGGTTCTGAATCACTTCACCCTAAATGTGTTGTTACTTTCAGCCCGTCCAAAATAACAGATGACACTCTAAATCACTGCATGATACGGTAGTTTTCATGACCTTTATTTCTCTTCATGCTAGGTTGTCACTGACCATGGACTGGCCCTGCGCTATCGACTCTTGGACGTACTGGAGTTTGATGCAACGCGCAAATGTATGAGTGTTGTACTGCAACCATTTACTCCGGGGAGCCAGTTGGATGAACAAGCTCCTGTGATTGTACTATCCAAGGGAGCAGAGACAGCTATGTTGCCCAGGGTAAGTGAAAAAAAGCCATTTGCTCTATTGCCTAAAGGGATCTCCGAATCCCAGTAAGAGAGCAAAATGTATTGCTACTGACACGTTTAAATCAGCTGCCTTGTAATGATAAGTATCACACAGATGAACCTAGGTAAGAAAGATATGGCCAAGTCTCTCCCGGTAGACCTCGAATGGGATTTCGCTTATCGTCAACTGCCGGAACTGGCACTATGCCAACACATCACGATGAACGTCAAGCGTGCCATGAACAGAAGGGTTAGGTTAACGTCGCACGCCGAAAAAATCGACAAACAGTAAGCAATTTGAGAAATACACTCATCTGCAAATCTATTTGGTTTTCACGGGAGACTCAATTGAATCTCTCGTTTATGATGTTCTCCAGCTGAATGTGATGCACACAGGCCGCCTCATGATTCAGTTGGCACGATATTCGAGATATCGAAGTATATTTTCATAAAGGACCATGAAGTCATCAGTATTGCAATTTGTAAATCTTTTAACTACACTTTTGGCCCCCAACTTGTCATGGGTACTCCATTCTCAACGACTGACTGATCTGAATTCCTACCCAATTTTCAGGTTTCCTTGTGGAAGAGTATTTGCCAGGCTGGATTAGAAGCTGTGCCGATTTCACCAATTATTCACACGCAGCATTCAGTTATCCGTGTCATAACGTGTCGTGCTCTGAATCTTAAGTTCTGACCCCAGGAAACCAAGAGGAAAACGAGAGGTGTAGTCCATAAATCAAGCTGAACTGGGGTTTACTGTTTGATTTGCGTCCGTAGCAGAGTGCTTCCTCTATCATTTCAACGTTATGCCTTTACAGTGGTTGAGAACCAAGCCTATAAAAGACGTTCTTCTTAGTTTGCACATTACCTTAAAGTGACCTCCAGTGCTTATATAAGATAAGTGGCTGTATTGCGCTCAGTTTTTTTTAGGGAAACGATTTTCTAATTACCTGTATGATTGCGCATGTTTAGATAGCGTTGCTATATTCTACCTCAATGTTGAAACTGCCCAATTGATAGATTCATTTAGTCATCATGGTGTTCGGTTAGATGGTCCTAGCATTCAGTGGGTATAACTGTTGGGCGTGGCAACCGCTGATAGCATCGCGTACATCTGTTTTTGGTGAATAAATATTATCACGCAGTGGTTCCCGAAACACACACCATTTATTGATCAGTGAGAAACGACTTCCACTGTATTACATTTCCGTCTAAACAGTTATCATTAATCAGACAGAGGTTGTTAGGTTTCATAATGGGTCTTAGCTTACTACCTCATAAAGTCAGCCTCTTTTTCACATTGTAGGTAGCAACCGATCAGCAGGTCAACACGGTTTCCCATCAGTCAACTGATCCCCTCGTCAACGGCCTCTCTGGCAAACTGCGGGGAGAAATCAGCATGACCACAGAGGAGACGATGAATCAAGTAACGGAGTTTGCTAGCAGCGGGCTTCGGACCCTAGTCATGGGTGCCAAAATTATTTCGGCAGCGCAGTGGTATGAAATGAAGCAAGAACTTGACACGGCTCGGGGACTATTGGATAATCGAGACGCGGCGTTGGCTGCGGCCTACGCGAAAATTGAGAGCAACCTGACGCTGGTGGGTTGTACCGGAATAGAAGATATGTTACAAGACGGTGTACCGGAAACGATCACCGCATTGCGGGAAGCAGGCATTCAAGTAGGTTCACAATCGTCTCCTGTAGTGGTTGCGACCACCTTTCTTACGAGCAGTTCCTTTTTCTCTCTTCTGGCACACACTCCGCTGAGGTGTGATTACGACTAGCATGTTGATTGAATGAAGTTGAAATCATGCAACGCAGACATATTCTGTTGTTGTGTCGTCTAGGTGAGTTGTTGCAATTCTCATCCAATCCTGTCACCTGGAACATAAGTGAGCAATGTGCACGCTTCCGAAAGTTTTCAGAATAAGAACGTCATGTGAGGGTAATCTACTTTGAACAGGAAAAAAACAATTAAATTATAAATATTACATAATGACTGGACGCGTGTTCTTCCGTCCTGTTTTCTACTTTCGGTGGTTTAATCTATGTCGCAACTACAATACACGTTTTCAAGCGCTCAACGCCCGACTGGGCCAATTTGGGCTCACGAAAGCCTACTAATGTCATGAAACTAAGTAGTGAGAATACAGGTAAGGTCGGCTGTGTCAACTGATTAAGCTAGCTTTACGTTGGTTAGGAGATCCTTTCCTGAGCACGATGACGGAACGAGGACATCTTTGCCAATGCAATACCAGGCTTCCGTACAAGGTGTACGGATGACTATGGATAAAATCCTAGAACTGATTCAGGAGGACAACTGTCGTTTGTTTGTTCTTTTGAGACTGTGGAGCCCCCGGGGGAACTCCAGGTTGCATCGAACCAATAAATAGTAGGAAAATAAAGCTCTTATGTCTGATGGTTGTATATCTGGTTGGCTTCAGAGGATATGGTTTAATATGCACACACTAGTATTTGCTGGTCACTTGCGTGAACTTCCATAGTCTGATTGACTTCTACGTCTATTTGGAGAGCACTTTATATCCGTACAAATGTTCTCATACCCTTGTAGCTAACATCACGAAAACGAATGATGAAGCACTGGGATACCCTTTATTAGAAAATAGACTAGTTATTTGGAAAACTAAAAGAATGCGCTGGGTATGCACGCAAATTGTCGGTCTAATCCATCGTATATACTTTCACCCTTTAACAAATATTCATTTGGTGATCATTCATTGATAATCTTCCGTCAGTTCTTCAAGATCAAGAACAATACATAACGTAAGTAGTTTCCCGGAGCTGCTCAGGTTCGTAAAGTGAGCACGGCTGTCACAAAATTTCACCCTTGATGACATATTCACGAAATGCAGTGTTTCTACAGAACTAATAACAGCCCAATACTATCACCACTTCCCCCGTCGGCCTCAGTCTTCCTCATTAGGTTGTAACTTTTTGTGTAAGATTTTGTCTACTTATGAACGGTAAAGTAGTCTCCCAAATGTCCAGTTCGCAGCCAATCGAAAAATGTACCGTGTTAGGTGCCGAGGATCCGTTTACCAAATAGCCTAACATATATTCGTCCTCTGATATAAGTAAATGCACTAAAATGACGTAGGTCGTCATCATGACGTCATGGGAACGGGAATGTGTAGTGCGTGAAAACTGCTCTCTGTCTTTCCGGTTTCATCTCATTTATTACCAAACTAGTTGGATTTCATCAAACACTGATGTGTACCAAAGGATTCGCAAGTGTAATTTCATACACAGGATGATTCTCAGACACTTGTCATATTTCCCATTACAAATCGTTTCCTCCATTAAATCACAAAACGAACAAGACTCTTTCCCGAGTTCAACTTTCAGGCCTCATCGGGTGATTCCAAGTTACATACTGCCATAAGATTTACAGAATCTTGTTATCTAGCTCCGTTTAAACCCTGTCGCCTATTCTGACTCTTCAACTGGATTCAATTAAACCCTCACCTCAGTTTTTAGGTGAATATATCTCATTGTTTTCAACTTGTAAAAGAAAATCAATTTTTATTAGCCTGATTTTCACCTTTTCCTCCTTCCCTCTTTCATCATCTACAAGGTATGGGTGCTCACTGGTGACAAGGAGGAGACAGCCGTGAATATCAGCTATTCTGCCGGTCACTTTTTTGTTGGAATGAGCGAGGCTCGAATTACCCGACACACATCGCTTCGTTCTTGTCTCGACGCTTTGAACGCACAGTGGGAACGTATGAAGGAGGCGAAACGTCTTGATGCATCTCAACAGTTCGGTATTGTTATTGATGGACAGTCTCTGAATTTTGCATTAGAGGTGAGTATTTAACCCCACCGGATAAGTGAACCAATTCTTCCAAGAGGAACTGCTTCGGGAGTCGAACATCTCCTTCGACAAAGCGCCATAGCTAGTCACGACCATAGATCATACGTCAACGGCGATAGCTCACGGGTAAACAGGTTGAGACAAGTTATTAGCCAGGAAATTGTCGGAAGATCTATAGGATGTCCCACCCTCATGGAGACATCACTTCTTGGGGTTGAGCAAGTTAACCAGCTTACTGATCAGTCACCGATGACCATGTTCAACCACTAACCGGAAGCTCGATAACTTGAATCCCCAGAAGAAAACACATGAGATATACATTCCTGGTTGTTCCCAATCGAAAGGGAAAAGTTGTGCCCTTTTTGGCCTTTAAATATAGACTGACTTCGCTTTGTAGCTGAGGGGCTGGGAACTGTAGTTCGACTGAAAACGAAATTTAAGATCAGGCGGTATAGTTCAGGTCTTCGTTATATACACACCATCATTCCAACATCAACCCAGCAGGTTGCACGTTACAGCTGCAATTATAATCACAGTGGGTACCTCCTTACATTGTGAATCTAATCGGTGTAGTTTCTGTAGGATAATTTCAGCTATGTATATATTCTAACCACTCACTGAAGCTGTAACTATATGCTGTACACTCCAGTTATCAAATGAAACTTCCCACACCTGGAGAAATAGGAGATGAAAAAACGACAGAAATGATTAGACTCAACGTAGTTTGATAAACCCACTCATTTGCATATCAGTTTGGTTCCCAGGGGCTCTCAGCCGGAACCCAGCTGAGTATCTCTCGTCTGTGGTATTCTTCATCAGTATGAGTATTTTCATGAAAGAAACTACTCACAAGGTTGCTGAAATCTCTTCAAGGAGTTTTAAGCAACCTTGTGAGTAGTTTTCTTCATTAAAATATGCTGCGATATCTCGAATATCGTGCCAAGTGTAACATGAGTCGACCTTCGTGCAGCCTATTCAGTTGTAAGTTATCATAAACGACAGATTCGGTTGAGTCTCTCGTGAAAACCAAATTGATTTGCAAATGAGTGTACTTCTCGAAGACTTATGAGTAGTTTTACAGACGTAATTTAATTCAAATAAGACTGCAAAAAATATCTCGGCAGCCCACAATCGGCTTTGTCCTACTTGGGGCTCATCAGGCAGGCACGGACCCCGATTGTCCGCCAACCTTATGCTCTACTTGAACCAAAATCGATAAACACCAATTTAAACGGGAGGTTTAGACGTACTCATCCGAGCCTCCTATCGAAACCAAATTCAGAACAGAAATGTCCATTTTCTCAAGGTCATCCTACAGGTATGTTGAATGTTCCACTAGGCTGTGCTTACTGTCGTCTTACCTGCTCATCATCAGAATATCTCATCGTTGTCACTGAACATTCAAGCAGAGTCATGGTCTGTAGCGATGAACCAAATAAAGCTTGACAGTAGCTGGCTTGGTATCGTGTTATGGACCACGACGTTCACAACGCAGGTGACTGTTATCAAACACTGAACCGCATCGCCAAGACTAGTCAACCTATCAGTCGCCAGTGCCGTCTTGGCCATTACTTCCTGTGTAATCGAGCTTGGTTAAAGGGAGTAACCCGTTTGTATCCCCCCCACTTTTCGCCTAGCCTCTGTTTACTCATTTACTTATCCAGTATATATATATATATATATTATACATCCCATACCAACCTGATCATCTTCCGTATAAACGCTGGTTGCAATCGCTTCTCTTCACACCACTTCCGAATCTAAATCTCTCCCGTTATTTCGAAATGAACTCAGGGTAAATTTTCAAGTAACCCACGACAAATCAGCTAACTACACTAAGGTCTGAGTCGAACCTGAGCCAACAGTCACAACTCCTGACCCTGTGTGATCACATATATTTTTGCCACAGTGTTCCTTACAGGGCTCGAAACTTCACGGTCAGTTTTGCCATACTCCCATACTGACAGCCCACGTGTGGAAACAGATTACTAGTCAAGGATAGTACTGACCAACAGAATTCCGCCATTGGTGGACCCGACTAATTCAGGGATTTTGGTGGGAACTATTCGCTTGCTGTTATGTTACAAGGCCTCGCGTGTATCACCGTCTGCGCTGATGGGCCCCGAACCACATCGAGAGCCATCGTGAAACCGTAAACAAGGAACTCGCGTACTTTAGAAACTGCTATTTTCTAGATGGGCATCCCGAGACAAAACGCACCGGTGTGCCTGTACCAGAGTTCCCAGTCCTCGCTTACTTCTCCAAAGTAGCCGGACTGAATAGGCCATGGTGTTCGCATCGCTCTCAGTGGGCACAGTGAGAGAAACTGTAACCTCTAGAATCAATCACCCATTGTACAGCTGGTGAACTGGGTTGTTGTGTGTTGTCGAACGACAACCTACACATATCGGAATATTAGGTCTTATTCAGTCAGTCTCTCGCAACCCGACTACTCTGCTAAGTGTGGAGAATCTTTGTCGAGTTGAATATCCTGGTTCCCGTGCATTCCGAACGCTTTATCTCAACCAGATTCCGTAGCGACGGGATCAGAGACTTGGTCATTCATTCGGTCATTTGTTTGTTTATCGACTTATTTTATTACTTTCCAACTCTGTTAAACCAGATCGAACTTCGAGACAAGTTTGTCGAGTGCTGCCAATGTGCCAGTACCGTGCTTTGTTGTCGGTTAACCCCACTTCAAAAGGCTGAAGTTGTCCGACTAATCAAGGAAAGTCGCTCCCCCGCTCCAGTCACTGCAGCCATTGGAGATGGAGCAAACGACGTGTCCATGATTTTAGAAGCTCATGTCAGTTTTGGCCTTTACGGAAAGGAGGGACGACAGGCTGTTCGAGCCGCCGACTACGCCTTTGGTCGCTTCAAGTTCCTCAAATCCGCACTCTTGTTTCATGGTCATACCTATTACAAGCGAGTTGCATTGCTCGTTCTATATTTTTTCTACAAAAACCTTTTATTTACACTCCCACAAATGTTATTTGGTTTTTTCTGCTCCTATTCCGCCCAAACCATCTATCCGGAAGTCTATATGGTATTTTACAACATAACCATGACATCCCTACCGATATTTTTGTTTGGTTTGTTTGAGAAACCTGTCCCTGAACACATTTTGTTAGCCTATCCACGTCTCTATCGTGATATTGTCAGAAATCGTGGTCTTTCACTCATCAACTTTATTGTTTGGATCACATTGGCCGTGTGGCATGGTTTTGTCATCTTTTTCGGGATCTATTTTCTCGCATTTCGTGGTCAAGCTAGCGGTGGCAGCGATCCTGTCTCAGGCTACGGTGGGTCGGCAGTCGGTGCCATCCTAGGATTCGGCAACTTGTTAATCATGACCATTTTTATTGTGACCAACTTACGCGTTTATTTGTTCAGCTACTATTTGAACTGGGTTGTCCTGTTGGGCAACGTTTTGGCATTCTTGTTGAATTTATCCATGTACACCTTTCTCAATTTTTACCTGTTCCCCATGGAAACTCCGGCCGAATTGTTTGCCACGTGGAGTGTGTTGTGGGGCGGGTCGGGATTAGGCACGCCGTGGTTTGCATTTCCAGTGTTGATTTGCCTGTCTCTCCTACCGGACCTAGTTCTTCGTGCATTCACCGATCAAGGATGGAAGTGGCGACTGGCAGAGATGCAAGAGGAACAAGAGCGCCTGGAGACTGAACCCAAGTCAGTGGTACGGAACGGCATTCCGGCAACCCACAACGTGCATCAGACGGATGTTGGAGATAGCCTGAAGGAGCAAACTCCATCACAGGTAGGTTAAGTTTGCCTTAGATTCCTGGACTATGTATTTTAATCTCAATGTAACTTACGAAACACAGATGTACTGCGTACATGCGGTCAAACAAGTCCAGTTAGTAAACGTAAGCATATAGCTCCGATCACATACTCAGGTATCACACAATAATAGTTCGCTGATGGATTGACGAACGGAAACTCTCGGACACATTCAACCATTTACTACAGTTCCCCACTGCTGGATTTGACCAACTCCCTCCTAGTAACGTTCATCCGGCATTCACTCTCGGGCCGATCCGACATAGGCACCCTTAAGAATCTGAAGTAGCTTCGAGACTCTCTTGCCTCAAAATGGAGTCCACCTGTATGGTTGTTTTAGGTGTTGGTCCCACAATTGGTCCATGCCTTCCAGTTCTAACATGGTCTAAGTGACGGCGTATTGTCTTCCCGTCTTCCAACATCGATGAGGCTACGGTTTGTTGACGTAACGCATCCGTTCACCGAAGGCTAAAATTTGACATCAACATCCTCGCCCCTCTGTATTGTGCGAGGTCGGACATTTGTATATGCGTTTTGCTTCATCGAACACTGCCACTGTTTGACCTTAACTTCCAAAATCGGCCGTAACAGACCCAAGAGTGTTCGAACTTTCCATCCCATTAGCCATTCACAAGGTGACTAGCCTGTAGTATTACGCGGCGTAACTGTGTATTGCAGTAAAAACGTGTCCGGTCTTGTTTGTAGAGCACCTCGGTTTTGTTTCACCAGTCCACTCTTCAGCTTTGCTCCCAAGCGTTCAGTTGTGCCGTTAGAGGCGGGGTGGTGCTGTTAAAACCTTCCATCCCGTAGGTTTTCAAACACGGTTGAACTTCAACACTGGCGAATCCCGTGCTGTACCAAGTTCACCGTGCGATCCAAAAGTGCTGCATAGGATAGATATGGTCGACGCACTAGATGCGATTCTAGCAAACATCGCTTCAAAATATTTGGGATACAAGTCGACAATCTCAAGAGTCATATAACCATCTACAAGGTCACAGGAGTCCACATGTATGCGGCTGCATGTCCGTGAAGTTCAATGCTGCTTCTGACGAAGCCCTATTTTGATGGCATGCATCACACTGTTGCACCATCAATCACAAGTCATGATCGATACCAGGCCACTAAACATAATGTGTGACTAAATCCCTCATTCGTGTGTTAACTGGGTGACCTGAACGTAATTTCCTCGAAATTTCCGGATGATAGCCTTTTGAGAGGATCACTATCGCACCCCATCCGTCTTCTACGCTCTTTTCAACATTCTCCAGTCGTCTGTACGAAGTGAAACAAAGCACACGTCAGAGCTCAAAGCCTTTTACTGTTTCTTCTTGCTTTTTCGCGGCAGTTATAGGAAAATCGTCAACGCAACTCACTAGATTTACCAGATCGACTGGTTTGAGTGTTTGGAATGATGTATCCTCTAAAGCTATTTGGGGCACTAGCAGTGAAATTCGCTTGTCCAGAAAAGTACTGCAATCGATACCGATTGTCGGTGGGTTTTTAGGTCGTGTGTTGCGTTCTGTGTGATGTCATTTGAGGTATTGGTTCATCACTTACTAGAATCCCAAATAAAGCCTGGTGATGTGGGTGAATGTCGGACGTTTGCCCGAAAAAGTAGTCCTGAAAACGTGTTATTCCAAATAAAAAAATCGTTGTCCGTTTCTGTGTAATTTCTCTTGGTATGCGTAGGCCAATCCATCCTTTCGCGATAACACAGTTCCCCGATAATATGCTGGTTCATCACAGACACGAATTATGGGTTGTATAGTCGCTCAAAATGAGTGAGTACTAGAGACCTCATAAGCATAAGTTTCGCCTTCTTCTGCTCAGAACCCCAACTGCACCTAGTTCTATGACGTAGCAAGGAAGTCGGTGGGTATAAAGATGTGCCGGCTTGCGAAACAAACCTTGCGGTGCCTTTAGTACTGGATACATTTTCTCCGCTAGAGGGGCCAAACACTCTGTGCTGACACGGAAACCCAAATAGTCCACATGGTTAGCCAGAAAATCGCACTTTCCTTTTTCTATTCATAATACACACTCATTCAAGGGTACGTCGGCACACGCAAACTTTTTGTAATCAGTGTAAGGCACCTCTCGAAAGTGTCACTCAGCGTTTGTTACTAATTTTGACGCTATGAATCAAGTTACAGGGTCGGAAACTTGAGAATACGTACTTCACGCAGCTGCTACCACCAACAAGGTTCAACCACCGTATCACGTGCACTAATAAATTCTGAGCTAGATCCAAATAGCGCCGTTACATTACGCACTAAAAAATCATGGCAAAATAAGTTGAGACCAGCTGAGAAAAGTAAGCTCCAGCCAGGCCCAGTGCGGCTTCGAACATTTACACTGGAAGAGGTGAAATTTCTGGGGATGAAAAACGTGATTGTTTCATCTGAATGGGTGACGGTAAACGGAACCATATACACCACTGAAAGAGATGGTCTAAAGAGGCTGACACGTGACCAGGTCTCAACACTCCCCGAGGTTCAGTCACTTATCCGCAATTACGAGGAAGTATTTTCATAACTGGCAAGTTTTCCGGAGGGAATGTGAATATCTACGTCCCGTCGGGAACGCAGCCTCGTTTATTGAAGGTCCCCGGTCATTGTCTTAGTTGATGCGTCCGAAGATCGAAGAAGAACTTGACCGATTGCAACGTGGAGGAATAATGCAGAGAGTGGAGTTTTTGGAGTGGGCTATACCAGCTGCACCAGTACTGAAACCGCATGGAACAGTTAGAATCTGCAGTAACTATAAAACCAAGGTCAACGCTTTCGAACACATTCAACCGGCTGCTGTGCAAACCACTTATTGTCTACCTGCCTGATCAGTTGGCTCGCTCAGCTACTGAAAGGAAAGCCGGTAATTCGTAGATTTCTCCGTTTCCGTTTTTAGTTAAATTATTGTTAAATGAATATCAGGTGGGCAGTAGTATTACTTAGAAAACTGTAAGACTGCGTGCAGAAATGGACGCTCTCCAGGCAAGCGGTCGGCACTTCTGTTTCAACAAAATTGCACTTCACGATTTACTGAGGGAGAACACGTTTCGTTCTTCAGCACAGTACTGTGATGGATAAAAACATAACAAGGACACCGCTGGTATCGATTTGCGTCAATATCTTACAGTCTCGCAAATAACCTCGGGGGGGCTCACTCAGGGCCCGACCTGGAAGGCAAGTTACACTGACAGTAGCCAGTAAACTATTTCATTTCAATCTTGTAAGCCTGACGTTGGTCAACCCCTTGCTGGCGCCACTAGCCATGGAAAACTGCACCCTTTTTGAGTAAACGATGATGCGTCGTGCACAATACATGGCCAACCCCCACAGAGGCATCAATCCACGCGAGTTAGTTTTCCGAGACAAAACACAGGCTTAAACACGTCTCACGTACGGTCTTCGCAGAGTACACCTCTCACAGCCATACAACAGAACAGCCAATTCTGAAGTCTGATACACACGTCACTTGAGATTCAGGCATATGCCATTATGCCACTGAAAACGTCAAAGAAAAGCTTACCGGTTGCAAAGATGGATTCAGGAACCAATCATGATGTCGAAGCAAGTTCGTTGTGGGAAGGTCACAAAACAATTGTATTCCTGTAGGCAAGTTCATTTCACTTATCTGGTGATCGAGGCACTTAACAGTCACCAACAGGTGTGGAATTCCTGCAATTATTTTGCTTTGTCTTAGCTGAACTGTATTCTTCCCATACCAGTGCAACTGTTCCGTTTTGTTCACAGTGGACCGAGTCCGAATTCGAATTCACTGCCTTCTACTTCCGGTGTGAAGTTATCAAAATCACAGGATCAATATAGGAAGCGCGTAGTCCAGGCGGCGATGAATCTACCCAAAGCAAAATTATGCTTGTTTGCCCTCTGATTAGTGCGTCGGGTGTTTGTTAGGTGAGGCAGTCCGAAGAGAACCAGGGGTGCCACTGAATGTTGCTACCTGCAAGTTACACGGAATCACGGAACAAAGACGTTCCGACTCGTGAACAGTTTTCACTCACCCATTCACCAAGGAAATCAATAATGTGATAAGAATAAGAGAATAATCGATGAGCATGTGTGCATCCAACAATTTGGAGTAATAAAACGACGAGATTTTTTACAAAATGGCATCCTGTATGAGGATACCAGATGTTATTAAAATCCTACATCATTTGGCTGGAGATTTCGCCGTTTGACGAAACTGTTCGGTTTATACTGAAGGTAAACATTTGAGATTCTGGTCTGTGGGTTACCCACTGCTACGCACAACTACTCACTGATGATGTCACCTCGATTGGTGATGAAACGTTTGCAACCAAATTGCCCAGCTCAGCGAACAAGTCAAAGACCATCTACGCCACCTGAGCTACCGACATTCTCCTCTATTTGAGATTCTCTAGTGTCGACTGTATTAATAAATGGATAAGATAGAACAGAAAATAACATCACTCCCTCGATTAGGAATGCTCAGCTAAATCCTGGAAAAACTACTTACAAGGCTACTGAAAACTCTTCGACAGCCCACGACCGATTTCGCATTTGTAAAAAGGAAAATATACTGCGATATCCCGAATATCGTACCAACTGGTGGCCTTTGTGTAATACATTCAATTTGAGAATATCATGAACGGGAGATTCAGTTAAATCTCTCCTGTGAAAACCAAAATGATTTGCAAACGAGTGTATTTGTTTCATCCTTATTCGGAATCATCGGCAGCGCCCATCTCACGAAGCACCATGGAGTCTCGAACCCGCGACCTCTCTGACATTTGTTTGAACACTCAACCTTTCGTGGCCCAATTTTTAAAATTCCTGAATCTCTCCACACTACCAAAGTTTGCAGGTATATTTACTTTGCCGTCAGGCAGGCTACAAACGTTAGAGGAGAAACTCGTACAAGCGCTCTGTCGAGCGCTTTGATTAGGCTCAGAAGATGAGTACGCCCCCAGAGAACCCTTGGCTGATCAAGCTA